AGTGTGTGTGTGGTGGGGATTGTCAGGATGTGGGGGGTAGGGTTGTGTGGTGGGTATTGTCAGGATGGGGGGTAGGGTGTGTGGTGGGGATTGTGAGGGTGTGGGGGGAGTGTGTGTGTGGTGGGGAGTGTGAGGGTGTGGGGGGGAGTGTGTGTGGTGAAGAGAGTGTGGTGGGGATTGTGAAGGTGTGGGGAGAGTGTGTGTGGTGGGGATTGTGAAGGTGTGGGGAGAGTGTGTGTGGTGGGGATTGTGAAGGTGGGGAGTGTGAGGGTGTGGGGGGAGTGTGTATGTGGTGGGGATTGTCAGGATGTGGGGGGTAGGGTGTGTGGTGGGGAGTGTGAGGGTGTGGGGGGAGTGTGAGAATGTGGGGGGAATGTGTGTGGTGGGGAGTGGGGGTGTGTGGCAGGGAGTGTGTGTGTGATAGGGGTGTGGGGGTGTATCTGATACTGTGTGTTTGTCCATCTCTGGGTTGTCATCTTATCTCAGTCTGAGATACATGGGCTTCAAGAGTTTTGGGAAAAAACCAAACTGCACATAAAATGGCGAATGGGACTGGCGTCTGTGAGAGTGCAGCCTGTGGCTTCCAGCAGGACCCTCAGATGTGTGAGAGCCCCCTCCAGTAGGTTATAGAGCACGGGCTTGATGAGAAGTGAGGACACAGGGAGTGGAGACCTCAGGCAGAGACGCTGAAAACCTCCTCCTTTACTTCAGGGGCTCTTGAGCTGCAAGCCGACCACCTTGGAAAGGCCATTCCAGACATTTCCTAGACTTTTCATTGGGCCTGCGTGGAGGTTTCTGGGGGGAAGTGTCCACATCTTTTTGGCACATCAGAAGTTAGAAAATAAGAACTTAGGAATACTCAGGGCAGGGCGTGGGGCTAGTTCTCCTGCAACTGGTTCTGCAACCCAGTTCTTTCCTGAACAGCCTGACTCTACTCTCTCCCTCCCACCTTGTCTTCTTCATCCCCGGAGCTGTCCATTGGGACACCTTTGCTATCCTTTTGGCTCTAACATCTTTTTGCCTTGGTTTGTCTTTCTTTCCTGCCATGGTGATCTTGGCTCAGTCTTTTGCTCTGTCTGTACCTTGTCTCCTTCCTCTTTTGCTCACCTTCTTCAATTTTAAACTCCCTGTCACCGTCCATTTGCATCTGATTCCATCTGAAACTCTCCCTCTCCCCTTTTCTGTCTCTCTCTCTTCTTCCTCACTCTATTGTCTCATGCTCACTCTCTTTCTGTCGCTATGTCCCCTGTCACTGTCTCCCTCTATGTCTCTCATTGTCCCTCTCTGTGTCTCTCACTCTTTCTTTGTCTGTCTGTCTCTTTCCTTCTTGCTCTACATGTCTGCCTTGATTCTGCGGTCCTTTCTCCCAAAGGATGAGGACCCTGGACATTGGGGTTGTCTCTGGATGGGGCCAAAAGGTGGAGAATGGGGATAGAGACAAGTCAGAGCATGTCAAGACCCTCCCTGGTTCCCAGCAGGTTAAGTCCAAACACCCCCCAGCTTTCATGGCCCTCCAGCTGAGCTCTTCGCCCTGGTCCCCTTCTGTAATCTACACTCCAGGCTCCCATTGTTCATCTAGTTTCTCAAAAATGCCTCCACCTTCAGGCTTTGACCTTGCTGTTCCCTCTGCCTGGACCACTCTTTCTAGAGGCCAATTGATATCCATCCTTGACATCTTAGCTTAGAAGCCAGTGCTTCAGGGAAACTTTTCCTCACTGAATCAAGAGTAGTCAGTCCTTCCTATTTTGTGTTCCCAAAGCCCCTTTTAGAGCATTTATCACAATTATGATTCATTGTAATAATAATGACCACTTCTGTGAGCACTTACTTTGTGGCAAGCAGTTCTAAGCACATTGCAAGCATTGATTAATTTAATTAGGTACTATTTTGTGGCCAAATGATAAATGCCCATCTTCCCTGCTGGACTGTAAATTTCCCGGGGCAGGAACCATGTCTCCACATGACTTGACCAGGGCATTATTTTCAGCCCCCCGTAGAGCACTGAGCTCAGAGTAGTGCTCAACAGATATTTTATACCAAGGTATAGAGAGGTTAAAATATTTTCCCACGGTCCAGCTTACCAAAATGTGCCTTTGGGACATGATCTTCTTAAGCCCCTTCTGGGGTTGCAGTGAAGATGGAGCAGATTAAAGCAGGTAAAGCAACCGGCATATACTAATAGCTCAATAAGCAAAGATCTCTCCTTGATGGTCTCACGGAGGGGGTGGCACCTGCACTCTGAGGAAGGGAGTGCAGGCCTGGCTTACCTATGGAGAAGGGGATAAAAGCTTCATTCTTCTTCAATGCCCCATTGGCATCCAGAAAGCGGTCAGGGTTGAAGACTTCTGGTTTTTCAAAGTAATGTGGATCATTGAGAGCCGAGTGCAGGATAGGAAATACTTCAGTGCCCTGAGGGAGGGTGACAAGGTCAAGATATTGCCTTCCCTTCCTCAGTCCACCCCTTAAAAAACAAAAACAAAAACAAGAGGGACCTAGTGATAAAACCAGACCAAAACAAAACAAAACAAAAAATTAGAAAAATAGGTCAAGTCCAGAGATTAAGAGAATGCAGATGGGCCACACAAGAGAGATGTGGGAGCCCAGCTGGCCTCACCTTGGGAATGATGTACCCTCTGAAGCTAGTGTCTCTGGTGACCATATGGGGCAGACCAATCGGGATGAGGTCCCCGAATCTCTGAATCTCATGGATGACTGCATCAGTGTATGGCATTTTGGCTCGGTCATCAAGGGATGGAAGGCGGTGTGGGCCAATCACCTGGTCAATCTCCTTGTGGATTCTCTCTGCACAGATGAGTGGGGCCAGGGAACCTCATTTTAAAAAGATATTTCAGCAGGGACATTTCTTTCTATGGGCCAGTGAACCAGGGAAAACATAATAAATGGTTAGGTCATTGACACCTCTCAGAGCAACCAGCCTGGGGAAGGGGTGGAGGGGGAAGCAAGAATTCTCACCTTTTGAAATCTACTGAATGCTATGAATTCTCCCCATGGGGCACAGGTAAACACACCCACACACACACCACAATTTTGCATAGAATTTCAGATTAAGAACTCAAGGCTATAAGCCTGCCAAAATTCTCCCTCTAAAAAGAGTGGAAAATGAACTAATAATTATTGTGTGTGTATTATAGATAGCACACTGTGCTAGGTCCTCAGGAATATAACAATGAAATAGATCAACAGATTAACCCACGAAAACCTGGATAAATAAATGAATACGTAAATCAATCAACTTATGAATGGAAAGATTGATGAATGGAAGAGCATTAATGAATGCATGTATGTATTTATTTCTCAATATGTGAATTAATGAATCATTAATCATTGATTAATAAATGGCCCATAGACAAATAAATGAACCTGATTAACGAACAAATCACATAAATGGATGGCTGGCTGGGTCTATAGAGGAATAAGTAAATAATTAAATTAATGAAGGAATAGGTAAATAAAGGAATGGATGGATGGATTGAATGATAAATCAATAAATCAGTGATGAATAACTGAGTGAATTAATAAATGAATAATAGACGGATGAACGATGGAGTGAAGGAATGATGGAAGGGGCGCCTGGGTGGCTCAGTTGGTTAAGGATCTGCCTTTGGCACTGGTCATGATCTGGGGAATCTGGCGATCAAGCCCCACATCAGGTTCTCTGCTCAGCAGGGAGTTTACTTCTCCCTCTGCCCCTCACCCTGCTCTGGTGCACTCTCTCTCTCTCAAATAAATAAAATAAAATCTTTTTTTTTTTTAAGAAAGAACGATGGAAGAATTAAGGAATGAAATCTAGTTCATAAGACAGATGGATACGTGCGTGAACGAATGAGCCAATGAATCAATGACAAATACTTCATTCGATTAATCACTGTTTCAAAAGATCAGCAGATGAATCAATGAATCCAAATAAAGAATGGAAGTCTATGTCATTGGATTAAACATTGATGAAAGAATCTGAGTGTACAGGTTAATTAATAAGTAAAAGGATGCATGGGTGGGTGGATAGATGAGTCTGCCTTTAAGTGATGGGAGGAAACAGTGGGAGAACACACTCACAGATTGTTCATCCACCCACCCACAAGACTGACTTAGTTAGGGGCTCATTCAATACCTGCAGTGGTCCTGGTGTAAGAGATGAACACCGCCTCTCTCATTCGGGAAGGACGCCAGCCCCAACCCCCTGCAGCCCCAAAAGCGGTCAGAAGATCCCCCCTCCATGGGCTGTCCCCGCCCACCCACCTTTGATGTGGGGGTATTTGAGCAGGAGGAGGAATCCATAGCGGAGCGTGGTGCTGGTGGTCTCCGTGCCAGCGAAGAAGAGCGACAGCGCGGTGTAGATGAGGTTCCGCTGGTGGAACTCGCTGCGGGGGTCGGCCTTCTCCTGAATCCATGGGGAAGCAGGGGGGCTTTGCTGCACGCTCGTCCCTCTTCCCTCCCTCGGGGCGCCCTCCGCAGCTTCTGGGTGTCTCACGCCCGTCTGGTCCGGTTGACATTTCTGTGCCCTCTGTGCGCCCAGCCGGGAATCCCTCCCCGTCTCTCTGCGCGGTCTCGGCTCCAGTGCATTTCCCATCTCTCTGCTGTGTTTGTCTCCCCCAGGCTCCCAGCCTCTTTAGGCTTCTGTGGGTCTTGTCACCTGTTGCTATCCTTCGGTGCACGCGTCCTGCGTTCCCCGTTTCTCTCTCCCTCTCTCCTCCCGACTTTCTCCTTTGTCCTCTTCCCGTCAGGTCCCCTCTGCGTCTCCCCTCCCTTTCCCCAATCTCCCTCCGTGTCCCGCGTCCTTCCCTCCTTCTTCCCCATTCCTTTCCCCTCGCCCCTCCCTTCTTCTCACCCCCCCATCTTTTCCTCCCTCCCCGTCCCTCCCATTTCCCTTCTCCAAACCCCACTTTGTCCATGCGGATCAGGTAGGCGTCGATGAAGTCCTGCGGGGAGCTGGGGTCCAGGGTTTCACGGTGCTTCTCCACAATGCGGTCAATGAATCGGCTGATTTCCTGCAGGTTTTTGTAGACTTGCCTGTGTGTACCAGGGAAGTACTTCAAGAAGCGGTGGAAAAGCTCGAACACCTGCGGGAGAGAAGGGGCTGTGAGGTCGTCCTGGGGCTGAGCTTTGGGTCCCAGGGAGGGGAGCCCTCCTGGGCCCTAACACCTGGGGCGGGGGAGAGGCTCCCTTCTCCCTGTGTCTCTCTCTGTCTCTGTTGCCCTCTGTCTCTGTCTCCCCCTCACTGATCCTAAGTCTCCTTTGATCTGTTATTCTCCCATTTTTCTCCTTCTGCACCTTTCTCCCTCATCCTCACGTCTTGTTTTGGTCCCTGCCCCCCCACCTCTCCATCTCTCTCCTTTGCGCCTCTCCTTACCTCTGTGTCTCTAATCACCCTGACCTTCTTCTTCTTCTTCTTTTAAGTAATCTCTTTACCCAACGTGGGGCCCGAACTCACAACCCTGAGATCAAGAGTCCCAGCCTCCACTGACTGAGCCAGCCAGGCGCCCTCTCAGCACTTCCCTTGTCTACTTCAGCCAGTTGATCTGTTTAGCTCCGACCTCTCTGACTCTTTCCACCTGCCACATCTCTTTTGCTGTGCCCGAAGGTGAGAACATGATGTTTACACAAGATGAACCTACTGACTACTTAGGACTATATTTATTTATTTTTTTAAAGATTTTATTTATTTATTTGACAGAGAGAGACACAGCAAGAGAGGGAACACAAGCAGGGGGCAATGGGAGAGGGAGAAGCAGGCTTCCCGCCGAGCAGGGAACCCGATGTGGGGCTCGATCCCAGGACCCCGGGATCATGACCTGAGCCAAAGGCAGACGCTCAACCAGCTGAGCCACCCAGGCACCCCAGGACTATATTTATTTTGAAACATATTTCTACTGGATCATCTCAGGATTAATGTAATACCTAAATTGTTGCTGTAAAAAAAATAATTGTTTTGTTCCCAAAACATGTGGGAACAGAGAGAGTACAATGTAAAATTCTCTTAATCCCTCCTTCTAAGGATAACCATTGTTAACTCTGGTGAATCTCCTTCCAGAGTTTTCTCTCTCTGTGGTTTTTTATGGGAGGAGAAAAGTGAAATCACCTTTTGCGCTTCTCGCAAATACTCACCCTGGGCCGCATTCCAGATTTTTGGAGCAGACTCTCCAGTAGGAGGTCATAGGAATTTGTATTTGTGACGGTCCTACGCGCGCGTCTAACATCCATTCCTGGTTAAGAACTATAGACAGGCATAGCGCACTTAAGTTTAATTTCTTTGCTTTCTATTTTTTTTTTTTAAGAGAGAAGCAGGGGAGGAGCAGAAGGCGAGGGAGAAAGAGAATCTTAAGTAGGCTCCATGCTCTGAGTGAAGCCTGAGGTGGGGTTCCATCTCACATCCCTGAGATCAGGACCTGAGCCGAAATCAAGAGTTGGAGACTTAACCAACTGAGCCACCCAGGTGCTCCTGCAGTTTAATTTTTTAAACTTAATATACAATTGGGGTATTTCCAGGTTCGTTGAGAAAGAGAAACTATACTATTTTGTTTTAAAAGCGGAGCATATTACTTTATAATCTAGGAGACATTTTAAAAAAAACAGAAAGAGGAAGGAGAAATGGCAAAAACCATGAAATGTCATTCCTTATTTTCATGTGTCCTTTGAATTGTTTCAAGCACGAGCCTTTGCCAAAGACAGAGGTGAAGGTTTGGAGAAATCAGGGACAGAAGAGGAGAGAGCCTGACAGTCTGACACATATTCTGTCCCCCTGTCTTTTCATCTTTGCCTGGTCATACTAGGTTCTCCAGTCCCTGTCTCCCGTCCCTCCCTCCCGCCCCCCAGCGCTCAGTGTCCCTGGCTCAGTGTCTCTGTCCCTCTCCGTTGTCTTTGCCCCACCTTCCGGCCTGAAGTTGCATTGCTGGGGCCCCAAAGCAGATTGCCCTTCTCCTCAGCCCTAGATGCCCACCTCATGCCCACCCGCCTGCACCCTCTCCCTGACCTGGCTGGAGAAGGAGCTGATGAGCATGAAGGACTGGTAGAACAGGTCCAGCAGCCGCAGGAACTCAGGGTCTCTGTAGCCAAAGCGTTTTCCAAAGACAATGGAACAGATGATGTTAGCGGTCATGGAGTGGAAGAATAAGGTGGGGTCCTGGAGGGCTCCTAGGAGGAGGAGGCACAAGTCATGGGACACAGATTCAAACAGACGCCTTGGGAGCATTTGGCTACCACCCCATGTCTGCATGTCTGCCCTCCCTCGCCCAGTGACGGTAAAGAAAGGGGGACAGGAACAGCTAACATGCACCAGCCTGGATGATGTGCCAGGCCCTATTCTAAGCCCTTCGTATATTATTTTCTTAAATTCCCACCCCAACCCTGGGAGGAAAGTGCCATTCTGTTATTATTTCCATCTTATAGATGGGCAGAGAGGTGGAGTAACTTGACCAGGGTTCCCCAGCTCCTCCTCCCTGGGGTCGAGATTCAGACCCAGGGGCTGTGGGGGTAGTCCCTCTCTGGTCTCAGCTCCGACCCTGGGAGCCAGGAGTTAAGTCCCAGAGGCAGAGGGGTGCAGAGCGGGTGACCAGTCAATCACATGCGCAAATTAAAAAGCTCTGCTCTCCTTATCCCTTGTCTGTCACTCCCCCTTCATCTCTTTTCTCCACCTCTAGGGCTCTCTGGTGTCCAGAGAATTGTTCTGTCCTTGCTAGTTGATGTCTGTATACATCCTGGTCTCCCTGACTGTGTGCCCAGGAGCAACATGTCATCAGCCTCTCTCTGTGAGTCTCACCTGTCCATCTGCTCTTGTTCCCTCAGCAGACCCTTCCCTGAGCCTGTCTGTCTGTCTGTCTCATTTTCTCTGCCTTGGTTTCTTTCTGCCTGTCTCAGGCTCTTCCAGTCTCTCTCCATCTTGGTCTCTCCGTCTCTGCCTCTTTCTCCTTCCCCGTCTCTCCATCTGAGTCACTCTGTTTCTTCCGGGTCTGTCTTCTTAGTCCTCTGTCCCTATACCTCTATTGCTCCTTATGTCTCTGTCCCTCCCTCCCAGCCTCTACATCTATGTCTCAACATATCTCTTATAGAAGGACCCAGACATCTTTATGTCCCCTTTCTCTCTTTGCCTTCTTTTTATAAGTCCTGTTTTCACCTTTGATAGATACAATTAATCCATGAGTTGGTTTCCCTGAATCCAAGTAAATAGCGTGCTAATATCTAAGTTTATGCCTTTGAGTTATTCTCGACACTATACACCCCACATCTCTTCCGGCTCCCCGTGTTCCTCTCCTACTCATCTCTGTCTGTCCCTCTGTCTGATGATCTCTTGGGATCATTCTCTACCTCTACCTCTCTTTCTCTACCCACAGGTATCCCATGCACCCTGCCTTCTCCGGGACTCACCCTGGGTTTTCCATAGCTCCTCCACCAGGCACTGAGCCTCCTCCTGAATCCGCTCCTCCACACTCCGCTTCCCCATCCCGAAGTCCCTCATGGTAGCCAGAGAGAATCGGCGAAGGGTCTTCCAACGTTCCCCATTGGCAAAGACCACACCTGGGGGTGTAGGGAAGGCATGGGTTGCTGAGGAGATTGGAAGGGGACTCTGGGTCCCTCAGCACCCCCTTATCTTCTCTTCCCGGATCCATCCTCCCCAATTCCCCTTGTCCATCATTCCCCTCCAGGTGCCTTTGAGGCCCTTACCATATCCCTGGAAGACTGGCTCTACTATAGCAATTTTCCCCCGGCCAGAGAAGGTCTCAGCCTGGTCCACCAGGGCCTCCCGTATGGCCTTTAGTCCACATAGCATGACCACGGGCCTTGGCCCCAGGTACACCGTGAAGACATCCCCGTATTTCTCTCGGAACTGTGAAGCATATCCACACCCAGGGTTGCTATTAGTCCATATGCACCAATGCGGCCATCCCAGTTGTTAAACCATAAAGACACTTATGTATAAATTGATCTTGTTGCCCCCAATACCCTCCACCCCAGGCTGCCTTTCCCCCTCCCAGGACCCAGCAACTAAAGGATTAACCCCCATGACCCAGCCAGGCTCTGCATGATTGGTGCCCTAAGCAGTACAGATGGTTACTATCTCTCACTCCTGCCCATACCTCTGAGTCTAGCCAGATCTCCCCAGCATTGAAACCGAAGGGTCATCCTCCTTGTGACCTGACATCAACCTGCTGTCTGCCTCCTGACTTTATTTCCCCACAGAACTACCCTGAACCACCCGCTGGGTAGACATGAAGGGAAAACAATGGCTTCTGGGATGATCATGAAATCTGAGGAATCATAACATCAGTGCGGCCACTTGCAAAACTGCTCGGTGCTGGGGGCACCTGGGTGGCTCAGTCGTTAAGCATCTGCCTTCGGCTCAGGTCATGGTCCCAGGGTCCTGGGATTGAGCCCCGCATTGGGCTCCCTGCTCAGCCGGGAGCCTGCTTCTCCCTCTGCCACTCCCCCTGCTTGTGTTCCCTCTCTCACTGTGTCTCTCTCTGTCAAATAGATAAATAAAATCTTAAAAAAAAAAAACTGCTCAGTGGTATTTACTGAAACTAAACACATTGTTTAGTTGTTTACAACTGGGTCACTCAGTGACCCAGCAGCCCCGCCACCAGATGCACGCCCAGCAAAAATGTGCACATAGGTTCACCAAAATACAAACAAGAAGATTCCTGGAAGCTCAGCAACACAGATGGAGGATAAATATATAGTCATGCCGTGGAATACTATGTAGCAATTAAAAAGAATGGGCTCAAGATGTCCATCGACAGATGAATGGATACAGAAGATGTGGTATATATATACAATGAAATATTATGCAGCCATCAAAAGGAAGGAGATCTTGCCATTTGCAATGATGTGGATGGAACTGGAGGGTGTTATGCTGAGTGAAATAAGTCAATCAGAGAAAGACATGTATCATATGACCTCACTGATACGAGGAATTCTTAATCTTAGGAAACAAACTGAGGGTTGCTGGAGTGGTGGGGTGGGGTGGGAGGGATGGGGTGGCTCGGTGATAGACATTGGGAGGGTATGTGCTATGGTGGGCGCTGTGAATTGTGCAAGACTGTTGAATCACAGATCTGTACCTCTGAAACAAATAATGCAATATATGTTAAGAAAAAAAAAAGAAGAAGATAGCATGAGCGGAAGAATGAAGGGGGGGAAATCGGAGGGGGAGACGAACCATGAGGGACGATGGACTCTGAAAAACAAACTGAGGGTTCTAGAGGGGAGGGGGGTGGGGGGATGGGTTAGCCTGGTGATGGGTGTTAAAGAGGGCACGTTCTGCATGGAGCACTGGGTGTTATGCACAATGAATCATGGAACACTACAACAAAAACTAATGATGTAATGTATGGTGACTAACATAACAATAAAAAAATTTAAAGGAAAAAAAAAAGAACGGGCTCTGCAGCCAACAACATGAATGAAACTCAACAGGCATAGTGTTGAGTGAAAGCACTCAGACACAAAAGTGTCCATAGGTCATAATTCTATTTATTTATTTAATTTATTTTAGAGAGAGAGCACACAAGCAGGAGGGAGTGGGGGAGGAAAGGTGGGGCAGAGGGAGAGAGAGAGAGATGATCTTAAGCAAGCTCCATGCCCAGAGTGGAGCCCGACGGGGGAGGGGGGTGTTCTATCTTACCACCTTGAGATCAAGAGTACGATGCCCAAAAGACTGAGCCACCCAGGCGTCCCCGGTCATAATTCTATTTATATGAAGCCAGGATAGTGGGAGGGTGGCGACTGGAAGGGGGTTCCTGGGGGCAGAACTTGTTGTTATTTACCTGTATGTCAATTACGAGTATGCTCCTTTGAGAGAATTCACTGAGCTGAACACTTAGGGTTTGTGCACTTTCAGGGGTGATGCTAAACCTCAATAACAGTTGACTTAAAATCATAAAAAAGTTAAGGGGCGCCTGGGTGGCTCAGTTGTTAGGTGTCTGCCTTCGGCTCAGGTCATCATCCCAGGGCCCTGGGATCGAGCCCCGCATCTGGCTCCCTGCTCCGCGGGAAGCCTGCTTCTCCCTCTCCCACTCCCCCTGCTTGTGTCCCCTCTCTCGCTGTGTCTCTCTCTGTCAAATAAATAAATAAAATCTTTTTTTAAAAAAATAATAAAAATAAAAGCAAAAGGATGGCAAGGCCAAGATTCAGGAGTGTGGTCACCATGGGGCGAGGGGTGGACAGAGGAGAATGGGGAAACTGGAAGTTCCTGTTGGTCATCCAGTTCCACTGTTGGGAAGTCGGTTCGTGGGTATGGACAACATTATTAATAAATAAATGGATCATCAAGCAAGATATCATGCTGGAAAGCAGTGATCCGGGGCCTGGTAAATACTCCAGCGTTAGCTATTACAGCTCATTCATGGTCATTATTGCTAAGCACCCTGTGCCTGGCCTCCCGTGTCCTCCTCACCGCTCTTCCTCCCGACACCGGCACCGACCCGAGCCAGACTGACCTCTTTTTTTAGCAGAGGAGAGACCTATTTGATTGGTGGCGCTGCCCCTTTTCTTTTGTTCTTCCAGCGCCCGGCAGGCACCCGAGGGGTGGCTGGAGAATGAAATTCTACACCGTGGTTCACATCCAGACACCTCTTCAAACCCACTTGCCCGCTCCAGAGACAGTGCCCACACACTTCGACTGAGCAGCATCCCGCATGCTGCACCTCCATGCCCCTTCCTCACCCCACACCCATGCCTTCTGGGGGGTGATCTCCAAGCACGGAGGCAGGGAGCCCCCCTCAGACCCCATCCAATCTGCATCTCACCCTGAGGAAGGATTTGAGTAAGCCACTTCTGTCCATCTGAAGAAGGTTCCCCAAGAAAGGCAGAGGATGGGGGCCTGGCGGCAGGCGGCCATAGGTCTTCGGGTGGCCCCTGGCCAACAGAAGCAAGAGTCCCGTGAGGAGAGCAAGGAGGAGAAAGGCGCTGAGCTCCATGACTTGGTCTGGCCGCCTTCCTCCCAACTGCCGCCTTGAGCTGGGACTTTTATCCCGAACCTCCCTCCCGACCATGTTATGTAACTTCATCCCCAGCCCGCCTCTCCTCTCATCAAGGCCAGGCGTGTGAACTTGAAAGAAAGAGTGGTACTGACAGACCCATACTTCCTGATTGGGCAACCCTACGTGTTGGCAGAGACAATGTGGTAACGATTCCAAAGTCCACAAGAGTGTGAGTGTAGCGCTCATGTTGTATTTGTCTTGCGGGCACAGGTAAGCATGCACTGTCCACTTGTGTGCATAAGCTAGCGTGTGTGCGTTTAAGATTTTATATGTGAAGCGGTGTTTGCATTGCGTGAATGTGCAGATGTGTTTCTGTGTATGAGTCTGCATGAGGTCGTGTATATATATATATTTTTTAATTTAATTTAATTTTATTTTTATTCATGAGAGACAGAGGGAGAGAGAGAGGGGGAGAGAGAGAGAGAGAGAGAGAAGCAGAGGGAGAAGCAGGCTCCCAAGGAGCAGGGAGCCCGATGCGGGACTCGATCCCAGGACCCTGGGATCATGACCTGAGCCGAAGGCAGACACTTAACCATCTGAGCCACCCAGGCGCCCAGTCGTGTATATATTTTTGCATGTATATGGGCTTATATGTATTTATGTGGCTTCATATATGAGGGTGTGTTTGCACTTGGGTGGTGGTGGTGGTGTGTGTCCCTGTGCATGGGTCAGTGTGTGCTGGCATGTTTGGGCATGCCCCAGTCCCTGTCTGTGGGGCCGTCAGGTGCTCTGTGTCTACCTCCAACCCTCTATCCTTCACCCTCCCTTGGCAGCTGCCACAGATGGGAGTGATGGGGCAACAGGACGGTGGGCGTGGCGGGGAGAGACACAGAACTGGTGAGACTCAGAGGTGCAGAGAGAGAGAGACTGAGGCCATGCAGGTGCAGCATTCAGGCCCCCTGGCTCTCTGATTGCTCTGAGCAGGGCCAGGCACTTCTCTCTCTGCCTCCAACTCCCGTAGGACATTTCTCTGACCCTCTCTTTGTGACTGTCTCTCTCTTGCTATCCCTCTCTGTCTCGGTGTCTCTGTTTCTGCCTTTAGACTCTGAGCTCGACGAGCACAGAGACTGGGTCCATGTTGGCGGGTGTCCCCTGGGCTCCCGTCTGTCTCCATCATAGTGCCGGACCTCTGGCAGGCTCAGTCCCGTATTTCGCCCAGTGTGTGAATGAATGTGGCCACATTCACCGGTCGTGCCCTGGGCCTGGCTTTCCACCTCTCTCTGTCTCTCTCCTTTAAAAGGAAATGGGGCCGGTGGGGGGCCGGGGGGGGAGGCGGCGCCTGAGTGGCTCAGTCGGTTAAGCATCTGACTCTTGATTTCAGTTCGGGTCATAATCTTCGGGTCATGATATGGAGCCCCACGTCATCGGGCTCCACACTTAGCGGGGAGTCTGCTTGAGATTCTCTGTCTCCCTCTGCCCCTCTGCACTGTGAGCACGCTCTCTCTCTCTAAAATCAATCAGTCTTCAAAAGGGAATGGGGAGCAATGAGGCAGCAACTATCATGCAATGTTGGGTAAACCCTTTGCGGAACCCAGGACTCTGACCCCAGCAGTTGACTCATACCTCTCTGACCCAGGAGAAAAGGACTGATAGTCCTGATATTTTGAATTCAGGGGTGGAACCTGCACTTTTCTGACCTGGGAGAGGTGTCAGCATGGACTTTCCTGACCCAAGCCCTGGCTCCTGCTGTATCCTAAGATCTGACACTGAGCTTGGGCTCATTCCAGCTCCAGCAAATCCTGATGGGGACCCATGAAGTGCTCTACACAGAGTAACTCACTCAATCCTCACCCTTTGCGGTAAGTATGGCTGTTATCCCCACTTTATACATGGGGAAAGCAAGGCACAGAGTGGTTTAGAGTGTTACCCAAAGTCACACAGCAGGTTGGAGCTGTTCAATATGGTAGCCACTTGCCACATGCAACTATTAAGCACTCAAAATATGGCTAGTGGAAAACGTGAAATTTAATTTTAAGTAGAAATGGAGACTCAACTCAGTTCTTGGAAAACTTCTCAGTACATTTGGAACAACTTGGGTATGGGAATCTACTTTTTCAGTTACGTATTTCATGAAATCTCAACACAGATCAAGTATTTCTGAAGAAAAGTCAAAGTCTCAACAAAGATGTTCTGTAAGTGCAAAGTACACACCAGATTACAAAGCCTTATAATGAGAAGATGTGCCAAGAGGCAGAGAGGCCAAGAAATAGATGAGGACCGTAATATGGGGATGGAGGCAGAGAAAGGGAGGGGACAAGAGAGACCGCAAGAGAACTGAGCAAGGGAGGCAGGAATACAAAGACACAAGGACAGGGCCTGTGGGGGGCGCGAGCAGAGCTGGCTAAGTGAAAAGAGCTGGTTTTCATATGTAAAAGTATGCTTACTTTTTTTCCCATTTTTAATAGCTTTCCTGAGGTATAACTGACATATGATAAAGCTGCATGTAAAGTACAACTTAATCGATTCTGAAATATCGCACACCTGGGAAACCATCATCACGAACAAGTTGATGAACATAACAATCACCCTGAAAGTCTTCTCACGGCCTTTAGTGACGCCTCTCTTCCCGTTTTTAATCATCCCCTCCTTTGACAACTACTGATCTGTTTTTTGTCACTAAAGATGAGCTTGTACTCTTCTCAATTTTATGTGAAGGGGAGTCATGTGGTATGCACTATTTTTTGCCTGTCTTCTTTCCACTCTGTATCATTATTTTAAAGTTTGGGGTAAGCTGAATAGTGGCCTCCCAAATATGTCCTTGTTCTAATCCCCATAACCTGTGGATGCTACCTAATATGGTAGAAGGGATTTTGTAGATGGGATTAAATTAAAGACCGTCAAGTGAGGAGTAGGCCAATGCTATAATCAGTTGGCCAATTATAAGGCGGCCAAGTACATGAACTCCCCACCCAACATCACTCATCATCAGGGAAATGCCGATCAAAACTACAGTGACATATCACCTCACACCTGTTAGGATGAATGTTATTACAAAGACAAGAAACAGGGGTGCCTGGCTGGCTCAGTTGGTGGAGCATGCGACTCTTGATCTTGGGGTTGTGAGTTTGAGCCCCACATTGGGTATAGAAATTACTTAAAAAAAAAAAAAAGACAAGAAACAACAAGTGTTGGTGAAGGTGTGGAGAAAAGGGAATTCTTGTGTACCACTGGCGAGAATGTAAGTTGGTGCAGCCAGTGTGGAAAACAGTACGGAGTTTCCTCCAAATATTAAAATAGAACTACCCAACTAACAAATAGAACTATCCAACTAACCCAAGCAGGAGCTTGCTCGGTCCACTCCACACATCGTCCTGGTATTATAGTACTTCCAGGAAAGGTGCATCCCTCCCCTCAGGGGCAATACTAATGGTGCAAAAAGCAAAAAAAAAAAAAAAAAAAGAACTACCATAGGATCCAACAATTGCACTTCTGGATATTTATCTGAAGAAAATGAAAACACTAACTCCAAAAGATATCTGAACACACACACACACACACACACACACACACACACACCGTTATTGCAGCATTACCTACAACAGCCAAACATGGAAGTACTCTGCCGTAGCATGGTACTATATATTTACAGGTGTAAATTACTCAGGTCAAATTGGTTGATAGTGTTGTTCACTGCTACTATATCCTGGTTGAGTTTCCACCCACTTGTTCTATAAGGTATTAAAAGAGAGGTAATCAAATCTCTGAGTATAACTGGGATTTGTCTATGCCCCCTTGCAGTTTTGTTTTTGCTTAATGTATTTTGAAGTTTAGTTATCAAGCCCATACAGTTTTGTACTTCTGAGTCACCCCACATGCATGGGAGTGAGGCACGGTCAATGCTTTATCTGAGTTTGAAAGTCAAAGCTTCACCCCATATGCCTCTAACCCAGGGGGAGGGGACTGACAATCCAGACACCTGGAATTCAGGGGTGGAACCTGTACTTTCCTAACATTGGAGAGGTGCCACTGTGGACTTTCTTGACCAGAGGTCTTGACTCCTGCTGTGCTGTGTGATCTAGCACTGAGCTTGGGGCCTCATTCCAGCCCCAGGAGTCACTAATGGCAAGGCATGAAGGGCTTCACACAGAGTAATTCACTTAATCCTCACCCCCTCAGGTAGGTATTGCTGTTATCCCCATTTTATAGATGGGGAGAGTGAAACCCAGAGAGGTTAAGACCATGCCCAAGGTAGCACAGCACTCTAGAAGTATGAATCAGGTGTCAAATCCAGTCTTGTTGCAGAACATGCTATTCAACTACTTCATTCTACTGCCTTTCTGAGAGAGACACAGAGACACAGAGAGAGATAGCAGATGGTGAGAGGCAGAAGAGGACAGTAAATTCTGGGGAAAAGGGATTCTTTGGAAAATAATCAAGGGAGAGACTGGATGGAACAAAGACAAACTGGTTCCTTTCTTGCAGGACTTCTCAGGGCCTTTAGAATGTTAATTTGCACTAATGACCCAGCAAAAGGGGAGGAGGGTTGACAGCAGCTGCTCAGCACATCTGACTTCATTTTTTTCTTTCTTTCCCTCCTTTTTTTTTTTGAAGACCCATCCCCACCTCCAGATCTAGGGCTAGGCTCTGAGGGGACACACTCTAGGAAGCGCTCATGTGTCAGAAGAAAGCACTAATCAGACAGACTCAGTCTCAAACCTCAGCTTCGCCCTGTACTTGTCATGCCAAAGACACCTGGGCAAGTGTCTGCTTCTCGTGAGTCTCAGGTTGCCTCCTGGAGAGTGTGGGTACCTAGCCCATGGGGTCACTATGAAGATGGAGATGAGACCCGATACACATGGCCTGGCACATAGTAAGTGCTCAGTGAATGCACCGTGGCCACAGGAGAGACCCAGAGGCCCAGAGGCCAAGGCTAAAGGGAGTAGAGGCTCAGACAGACCCAGAAGGAGGGACTCGTGATGTGACCAAGACGGCAAGAG